TGTTCAAGTACACCAATGCAGCCATAAGCGTAGGGGTCTGGACATTCAGGTACTCGATCAAGCGGGAAATAAAACGGGTCAAGGGCACGGCCTCCTTGGCCACGGGGGTCACCACCATTTCACCCTGGGTGGATTTCTGGGACACCACAGGTCTGACCTGGATCACAGAGCAGGTGGTGGCAGCCAAAAACTCCACCATCTCCATGGACACAGGCTGTCTGGAGAAGATCTTGAGTGCTTCGTAGTCGGACATTGGAGGAGGAAAAGGGTGAAGTTTTGAAAAGATGTAAGTGAGGGTCTGCCTGGGTATTTAGCTTGGGGGCATTGTCACTTTTATTTCCCACTTAGGCACCGCCGCATATCTGTACCTCGACGGTTTCGCAGCCATTCTCAGCGTGTTTCGTGCGCCCAGGAGAGACGCGCTGGGAAACAGGCACGCGGCAGGGACATGGCCAAAACACCCCTGGTGCACGGATTTGATAAGTTAAAGATATAAACTTGGACGGTTCCTCAATTTTTTTAGATTTAATGTCTTCGTTTTTTCTAAATTCCCGGTTGTCGCCAGCAAGTGGTATGGGGCGTGGGCTTGGTGGTTGCAAATCGATAGCGCGGTTGGTGTGCGCAAAATGGCCCGAAGGGGAGAAAATGAGGAGCGAACCGGGAAGCCCTGTAACCAAAAATGAGATGTGAAAGTGCAAGACAATCGAAAATGGTACAAGAAATGAAAACCAAACAAAATCATGGAACCAAGAGATAAGGAGTGAGGGCACTTTGTTTTCGTAATAATGAAGCGCAAGATTAATTAGATGTAATTGGAGAAGGGTGGCCACAAGAGGATCTGCGGTGGTTCTGGTATGAGACAATGGGCCAGGCGCTTCTTCGGATGTGCTACTGGCAGCCCTAATTTAGTTGAAACAGAGACTGTATGTTTAGATAACGGTTTCTACATCGCCTCAAACACGGTGTTTTTATTTAGACGACGCTCCAGATGCGTCCGACGCTGTCATTCTCTGCGGCTGCAACAATGCTCCACAGTGCCGAATGCGGTAGCAGCATGAGATGTTTCTCAGCGCTGTCTCAGGCGTGATCAGGGTAGAAGAAAAAGGCGAGGGCAATGACAAGGTAGGTACTCAAAAGCATTGCTCCCTCCAACCAGTTGGACTCTCCGTCAAGAATCACCAAGTTGGTGATGAATACCGACACGAACATCACTGCAGTCTCAAATGTAGAAAAGTACAACGACATGGGCACATCCACAATCCAACCAATGATCACCATTGCGGGTGTCACGAAAAGAGCAATTTGCAACGACAGGCCCACGGCGACACCGATAGCCAAGTCCATCTTGTCCTTCATGGCCACAATCACTGCTGTGGCGTGTTCAGCAGCATTTCCAACGATGGGGATCACAATCAAACCAATAAATGTCTTGGAAAGACCCAGCAGCTCCACGATATCGTCAATTGAGCCCACTAAAAGGTCGGCAGAGAATGAAACAAGCACCGTGGCGACCACAAGCACTGCAAGCGAGCCAGTGATGGTCAAGTGCTCCAGGTCGGACTTGGTGACAGTGCCCTCAGGTGGCACGCTCAGGGTGATGATTCCATCATCCTCTTGAGACTGCTCCTCAAAGAGAGCCTTGTGGGTGCGCAATTGGAACACCAAGTACAAGATGTAAAGCACGAGCAAGATGATAGCGACACCACGGGAAAGACTCAAGATCTTCAAGTCGGCCTCCGAGTCTGGATCGGGAAATTTCAGCTTGCCCTTTGAAGGCACAGAGGCGTGGAATGCAGCAGGGATGAGAAGACCCGCCGTGGCCAACGCCATCAAGGAAGACATGGTCTGAGCCACGGTCTGGTTGAAGGTCTGCTGGACGCGTGTGATTCCGCCTGCAATGAAGCAACAGCCCAAAACAAGCAAGGAGTTGGATAAGATAGATCCTAGCATGGAGGCCTGGACGATTCTCACCTGGCCATTGAGCAAGGCAATAATGGAGACGATCAACTCCACAGCGTTACCAAAAGTGGCGTTCAACAAACCACCAATGGTCTCACCAGTATGCTCAGCCAATTCCTCAGTGGCATATGCCAACACTGAGGCCAAGGGCACAATAGCAAGAAAGTTGAGCCAAAACACGGCATTCGAACTCCACTCCAAGGTGCCTGCGATAAGACCCAAAGGCACAAACAAAAGAAGGTAATTGACAGGAGACGACGTCAAGGTCAGTTTCAACGTAAACAAGGCAGCATCTTTGAAGCTAGTACGCGTGGCTGGACGTCTACCTAAAAGAGGAGCGTCCGACATTGATATTGTAGATTATCTGAGATTGAGCTTTCTGACCCACGATGATTACGGGACAGTGTGCAGGTTTACGGCCGGCCTTTGCTATTCTGCAGCGAAAAAGTGGCTGAAGGAGTATAAGGGGGAGAAAAAAAGGCGGGCTGTTTTGCTCAGGAACGCCCTGGTGGCCCGGTCTGACTGTATCGGGCATGCATTCACGCTGAGCAAATGCTGAATGCTGCGAAATCCAGGCACCTTAAGCGAGTTGCAGCTATTTTTGACGGGTATCTGGAAGTGTTTACGGTTGATGTGTTGATGATGAAATGTTGGTCAGACTTTCAACGAAATAGACTTTTCCAATAAATTTGAAGTCTACTAGGTATAAATTTTGATCCACAATCTCGTACTTTTGTGTTCTACACATGAGGAGCAGGATGACATGTGGTATGAGCACTGACATGCATACTTGCAGCGAGATTAACGAAAACCTTCAGACGCATCAGTGACATATGCTTTCAGTCGCAGCAAACTGGACATTGTAAATCATGTTTGCGGATGCAAGCGAGAAATCCAATTTATGAACCTTATGAGATGGTCCAATGGAAAATTGTCAATGTTTCAACCGTCTTGTTAGTGAACTATTGCGTCAGTTTGCATCACTACGGTAGACTCTATAAAACAAGGTTTGTTCATCGATTAAAAGTTGATGGCTATTAACATGACTGACAGTAACGAGTGACCAAAAACAAACTGTCTATTTCATTCCAAAAAGGCTTCCCAAACTGAAGTCTAATTCACAAGTTCCTTCCAAAGGTATGGTGTGAACAACATGACGGCTGTAACAATCACCTCAAAAGACTCGTACAAGGCCACGGGGAACCCAGCGAATCCACGCTCGCAGTAGTTGCAATAAATGGAGTAGAATGCAACAGAGAAAAAGTGGTTGAACAACAACATGGGGAAGGGAAGCATGCCCGAAAGCAAACCGATAGGGCCCTTAACACAGTCTCCACCGAGCAAGAAATACTTGAAGCAGCCGTCTTGCAAGATCTTGAGTGGCCTGCTGTCTGCGGCAAACAATGAGTACAAAGCAATCGAAAGCGTGTTGATCACGGCATCAAGGCGCTTTCTTTTGCTGTGGAATTGACGTAACTTCTTTGAGACCAAGTCATAGTCGTCCAACTCTGGCACCTGCTTTGGGTGCAAGAGCTTCATGAGCAATACAGCATCATTCAAACCAACGGTCATACCACCTCCAGTGAGAGGGTGTCTCATGTTCAACGAGTCGCCAATCATGATGAAGCCCTTGTTGCGGCTACCTTGCTTCAGTGCGCTCAAATACTGGTTTGGCATTGGTCTGAATTTGCGTCCGGCCATGGCATGCTCAAAGCTTGGCTTGAGCTCCTCGGGCAAAGAGGGTAAAACCTCCTGTTCCAAGTACCTGTAGAAAGTATCGTTTGCAGCCGATGGTGGCTTGGTGGAGCGATAAGCGCACAAGACTCTCGTTTCCTTCGGAGTAGTCTGGTAGATGAGCACAGGAGCATGATCGCCCAAAATGACATGGCCGTGGTGAGGAGCAGGAAGCTTAGCATCTTCTAATTGCAAACCCACAAAGTAGGATCCAACAGCAGGAACATTAGTCTTGGAGTGCTCCTTACGGAATTTCGAGTAGATGCCGTCGCATGCAAAAGTAATCTTGGCTTCGTAAGTCGTGAAATCTCCTTTGAGACTCTTCACCTTCACACCTCTAACCCAGTCAGGGTTCTCCTTATCTCTCACAACCTCCGTAGCAGAGCCCTCGATCCAGTCGACGTTTTCCTCGGCCCTCACTATCTTTCGAAGATTAGTTAAAAATCTGCCGTTGCTGAACCCTAGTCCACGCACATTCTCATGTTGGTCCCAGTCCTCTGAGATAATGGCTGGGTCGTTTTCAAGGTACTTGTCGTTGTCACCAAATACGCAGTCTGGCACTGGCTTCACAGGGTTCATCTTGTCACAGTCGTACTTGTCTGGGTACTGGATCTGGATCCTGTTGTCGTGGTACTTAATGTAGTAACCGTCCACGTACACGGCATCGATACCGTTGACAGCCTGGATCATACCGAGCTCCTTCAAAGCCTTAAGACCGGCTGGCTGCATTAATTCACCAACGATACGGTCTGGCTCGCTCCAGTCTCGCTCAATAATGAGCACCTTTCTTCCCTGTCTCGCTAAGGCTGTGGCGATACATGGTCCAACCACGCCGGCTCCGATAACGATGGCGTCGTAAGACATTTAGTTTTTTGGATGTGTGTTTCTTGAACAGTACGGTCTCTTTTGGTCGAGACAACACTGGTTTATATATTCTATGAAGATGGCTGTGAGAATTTATGTAAATGGCACCACGTCGTATAAGCGATGTTATGCGCGCCGATGCCATCAGTCCATGGAGCGTTCTTACCGCGTGCAATAATGGATTTTGCGCTGCTGGTGAAGCACCTTTTGCCGAAGGGATTTAAGTCTCTTCAACAAGGTAGTTTAATTCTTGGAAAAATCCCGTAATTGGTCAGCATCCACTATCGATCTCTTCATCGGCTTATCTGCTGGTCTTGCACATGGCGATACTTCCCTTCGTATTCTTGTCTAGGCGATGCGACTACTACTCCATCCTCGGGTAATGAAATTTCTCACCATATCAGCGCCATGATCCCATCTTGACACAGCCCTTTTTCTCTCGTTTAATCGCTTTCCTCCTCACTCTCCTCTTCAGCATCTTGCAACCATTCGACAAACTGCGCCGTCAAGCCACGCACCTGCCTCAAAACCTCGCTCTCGGACGATGCCTCCGACTCCCACCACTTCAAAATGTTGTCCTCCTCGATGATGTCTTTTTCGTAGAGTTGCCGGAGCGCAATGAACAATACTACCTGATTGTACTCCTGATCGACGTTAGCGCACGTTTCTTGGATAATTTGCGCGAGGTCTTGTTGTTCCTCCTGAGTAAAAACTTGTCTCTTGAAAAGTGCACCCCAGTCGTTAAATATCTTGGCTGCAGCCTCCTTAACGTTAAGTGTATCTGTGGATACAAAGTGAACAATTCTCTTTACCATCGCCAGGACTGTAGCTTGACGCACCTCGTGGTAGGTGACATTCATCGACATTCTCAAAGTATTGAGCTCAAGAAGTGCTGTATCCAAGTCGTGATTGTTTTCCATGGCCCTCTCAACGGTGGCAACGGCTTCTTTGTTGAAATCTTCTTGTTCCTCCTCCTCAAACTCATAGTCCGTGGAGAGAATAGATGTGGCAGACATCCTTCTGCTGCTCCTCGAGTTGTGACGAGCATGTCTCTTGATCTTTTTCTTCGTAATTGATGCAATTGAGTCATCAGAGACATTAAGATTACTCATTTGATAGATGAGACTGCTGTTGTTGAGTGAAGCACTTTCCAGTTCGGACTCGTCATCAAACTCACGGTCTGACATGTACATCACACCTTCACCATCCTCGCCAACTATGTCCGCATCGTTTGTGTTTGCTGCAATATCATCCTCTTGGCTATCGTCATCCTCGTCATCCAGCTCAAAGGCGCTGCTACCAAATTCTTTCTGGACAGGCTTGTCAACAAGTCTGGTGTTAGCTGAGATGACCTTTCCAGCACCAACTGTCACATTATAACCAATGACAACGCCTTTTCGAAGCTCGGCACCAGACTTAATGGTGCTTTCACTCGCCACTATAGCGTTGTTTATCGTAGCACCATCCTCGATCACGGCGTTGTCCCAGATATACGAGTTATTGATGGTGACGTTAGCGCCAATTTGACAGTTGCGACCGATCGAAGACTTTTCGATAGCAGTGTGAGCGCCGACACTAGTGTTGGCGCCAATAGACGTACTATTCCCGACTCTGCAAGACTGTGCCAAGACAACCTTGTCTTCCTTGTAGATGTGATTGAACTCGTACTTGTAAGACAGGCCGATCAAATTCATGTCAGGAACAAGTGGGTAGGACCAACGTGCCAAAACATCCTGAGAGATGGCATCGTAAGTGTCCCAGGACTCCACACGAGCAGCGTACTCAGCGCCCTCGGCGATGTATGCATAAATAGTCTTCTTCAACAAGTCAGAAGTCAAAACTCCCTTCACAAAATCACTTCTAAGTGTTTGATAATCGAAATTCTCCTGGAATATTTGAGGAACATGGGGAGAACAGATGTCGACGTGACAGTCGATCAAATCGTTGCGTACAACAAAATCATTCTCGATGTCCTCCAAAAGCTCTGGGTCAATATTGATGCTGCTCTTCTTACCACCAGCTGGGGGGATATCCTGGTAGTAGTAACAGCGGTTAGACTGATTATCCAATATGAACACTGATGGATCGACGTGGGATCTAGTTCTATGCAATGGGCTGGCTGAGGTGAGCACCATAGACACAATATGTTCTTTGTCTACCAGCTTTCTCTGCTTGTGGAAGGCCAAAACCTTCTCAAAATCGATGTTGGTAACTACGTCACCAGAAACTAATAAGAAATCACCAGTGATGAGTCCTCTGTTGTCCAAGTCTCTCATGGCATCACCGACGGATCTGGATTCCAAGCTCATGATGGTAGTAACTTTAAATGGTGAATGCAGTGCCCATTTAGAGTTTTCGATGTAATGCTGAATTTGATCGGCATGGGAAGAGCACATGAGGTAAACCTCGTTGACACCAGCTCTGGCTAAGAACTCCAAAGTGTACTCGATCAATGGAACGCTCACTAAAGGTAGAAGGCATCTGGGTTTGACGGATGTCAAAGGCATGAAACGGGTTTCAAAAGAGTCCGTGAGGACAATTGCCTGAAACCTTTCGTCCAGCACTACCTCCCTTTGTTTCTTGTTTTTTGGTGGCATTGGCAAGTGTAGCTTCTCAGTAGTAGACGCAAAATCTTTTGTATGGCATCGTAGTCCGAGGTGAGTCACGTGGAAACTAGCCCCACCAAACACCAAAATACAAACTAAATAAAGATAAAAACAAAATTTTGCTTTCTATTTACATGACTTGCCAAAGAGTCTGTATCGTGAGTCTTTTGAGTCTATTGTACGTGACACTTGAGGGATGTGCGGAGAAGAGGGACATCACACAACGAACCTCCACCATCAACTTCAGATTTCCTTCTTCGACTTCACTCCAGTTTTATCAGCATAAATTGCGGCAGTGGTAGCTGCGAGGATAATGCCCGAGGCAGGCACATTGAATCTGCTCACCTTAATCATCCGTTGTGTCTCACTGATCCCAATATCCTGCTTGAGATAGCCGTAATATCCACCAATGGTAGCAGCCCAAGTACCCATTGCCACTGTAAGCTTGTGTCCTCTCGCGTATTCTGCTATCTTCCCGAGAGTGGACTTCCGCTTCCATTCTCTGAAGCGGTTCATGATCATTTCTTCATTTTTAGGGCTTGAGCGCATTGCTTTATCAAATTGGACAGAGCCTTGATCAGCATAGAATGCACAGCAACTGACTGTTGGCATGATCAAGATACAAGCTTTGATGGAGGTGTTAAACTGCTTAAACTTCACGGGATGCTTCATTTTGAGGTATGCAAAGGCACCTAAGGAAATAAAACTACCCACGAGAAGGCCATTTAGACCCTCAAAGGCAACGTGTGTAGCATGAGCTTCTCTCTCTTCCCTGTTAAGAAGTTTCATGGGATCGAATGAATATACACTAGGCTGGTCTGTAGTAGTTGTGCGGTCTCGGTACAACCCTGTGCAGATGGCTGCGAATTAAGCGAACCATAGCAAATTGCAATTGCAACAAACAAGTGTCTTTTTTTTTTTTTTTTTCGAAATGGCCAAAAGACAGATGTTGGACTAGGACTCATCGAGAAGTAATTCATTTGGCAAGAAGGCGGCCTGACACTGAGTAAAGAACGAGTAATGGAGTTTAAAGCCGAAACACTTTCATTTCGTATAAAACAAATTGAAAATTGACCTCAAAGAGAGCTAAAGCTATTGTTGGCTCATGTCCTTCTACTTCCTGAACTGGTGTGAACGCGTTGCAGAGTGTCATTCTCTTATCATCCTTAAGTTAAAGTGCGCACAAGATGGTACGATCGATTGAACTCCCCACATCTACTTCGTCATGGACCATTCCTTACACGCTTCCCACGATATGGGCCACATGCCCGATCATGAAATGCCCGAGATGTGCAACATGAATGTATGTTTTATAAACCTTCAAAACTTCCAGATTTACTAATTTCAGATGATATTTACCTGGGACTGGAAGAACACTTGTGTCGTCTACAAGTGGTGGCATGTTAAGACCTTGAGTGGTTTTATCGGGACTTTTTTGGCCATTGTCTTGCTTTCAATGTTGTATGAGTTTTGCAGACACTGGTCTAGCAATTGGCACAAGAGGCATCGTCCAGCGCTGCCTACTGCTACGAACAACAGAGACGTTTCAATCAGAATCAAGTCGGCATTTTTGTATGCCTTCTTGGTTGGGTACTCCTTTATGCTTATGTTGGTATTTATGACCTATGTGGGCTGGTACATGCTTGCAGTTGTTGTGGGGGCTGGAATAGGTAACTATTTATGGACAGCGGACAGCCCCGAAACTAAGGCCTTGATCTGTCACTAGCACTATTATTGGAACAAATCTTATTTATTGCAAACTATGGGCCAGGACCTGCGTATTCGGACCTAGCTCTTAACTTTGGGCCATTGAGATAGAACAAAACAGGGATTGCGATCATAGCCACACATATAAACCCTAAAACTGAAGAGCCCCACCCAACAGAAAATCTGGCTGTCTTCAAATTGAGAAACAATGGTCGTCCAAAGAGTGGAAAGGCACCAGCCATTAAACTCCTGAACAAATCGTTTCCGGCAAATACTGAAGCTATGTATCTCCAAAAGGACATACTGAGATAATTGAACAATGTTTGAAATATGACCAACCCTCCAGCTGCAAAGATCACTGCGCCAATGAGCGGACCGATCCAATGGAGATCCGGGGCTGCTGTCCAGCCGAAAATAAAGACTCCGATTGGCATGAGCACACTTCCGACTATTGCTAGAGGAATAAACACTTCGGGTACAACGTCCTTGCCATCTAGCAACTTCTTTGTAAATTTGTGATGTATCCACGGCACATAGAAGGAGGCACCTATAATGATACCAATCATTATGCTTATGTACGCAGTTCCCATCTCAATTAGCGTGAAACCTTTTACTTCAAGGAAAACAATCGGAAAAGCCTCAAACCACAAATACATGATTGAGTATACCAAGCCGATGTACACGTTGATAAGTAAAACCACGGGCTCAAAAATGATCACCTCTATTGGACGCCAAAGGGTCTCGTTGAGCATCTCTCTCGTTGTGGTTTGAGATACTTCAATATGACCCTCGCTCAAAATGTTGTGATTCCCTGTCAATGCTCGAAGCCGCTCCGCCTTTCTGTATAATATGGTTTTGGAGTAAGATTCTGGAAGCATTGCTCCAAGAACGATAAAAGACACTCCAGATGTGATACAAACAAACCAGAAAGACCAATGATAGTCAGCCTTGACGGTCAAGATAGCGCCGAACAAGGGGCCTGTGGTTGGGGCACACATTGAAGCAAAAGCCCAGAAGGAGAGTGCAATAGGGATGTGTGGCAAAGCAACAACATCTGCAATTGATGCACCACCAGTTGCCAAACATGGACTTGCAAAGATACCAGAAATGAACCGCAAAACACACAAGCCCCCAATGTTTCGAACAAGCGCAGTGGGGATCTGAAGAATGAAGAATATGAACAAAGTCATGATATATATAGATGTCCGACCATACTTTGCATTTTCAGATAATGGCGAAAACGCCATTGGACCGATGCCATAGCCAAAAACAAACAATGTCAAAGGTAGGGTGGCCACCACTTGACTTATTTCCATATCCTCCATAATAGCCTGAATGCCAGGGATGTAGATGGCCGATGCCATATACACAAAGGCGGTGAGTATCATCACTTGGGCAATGAAGAAAGACTTCCATTTCAATGGCCAATTGTAAGGGTTATCTGGATCATCATCGCCATCAAACTGAACAAGAATAATATCGGAGTCTCCATCCGGTTTTTCGTTGGGCCCTTTCAAGCCGGTCTCAATGGGGGTGTCAAAGCCTTGAAGATACTTATCCGGGATTATATAGTTCTTGTCCTCCTCGGCATAATTAAGGATCCGTCTCCCGGATAGGTGATATAAGGTCCTACCGAAGAAGCTCTCGCGGAAGAATTTGTACAAATACATGGTTGTTACTACAAAGATAAGATACAATGCATCTATATAGGTTTTTAAAACACATAGCTTTTCCCGTTGATCGATGACCGACTCAGGTCACTGTGGACATTAGGCGGAGGTTCTAACGGCTGCGATAAAACTCCGTTGACAGCCCCGCGCGTACGTCACTTCAGCCGTTTATACATCTAGATGCAACCCCAAAGACAAATCAATCCCGCGTGAGACCGATTGTTCTACCAGCCTAGAACAGAAAATCTCGCTAAGCAGATTTTCTTTTGTATGTATGGAGGCAATTGCACAGATAAGGAGTGAGACCTTATCGGAGTATGCCCTTGTTGAATGAAGATGCAAACGGAGCTTCCTATCAATTGACCTTTATTTGAATAGGCTTACTTCCTGAAAGTTAGCTTCGGACCGAGCGATTGGCAGCAAACAATGGCTAGTCATGTTATGACTAAGGAAGCACCTGTAAGTGTCTCGTAGGTTTTTGATTCTCATATTCAGAATTACCAATCCTTAGAGTCTTAAAGCAAGAGAAAGGGACTCAAAGTATAAGTGTCTTGCTTTGACTTCGTCGATAAATGGCATTGTGTCTCACGAAACGGTGATCAAGGTGGCAGAGACGGATATCTGGCCAAAGGGTATCGCTATAAGGTGTCAATTAATGCTGGTAGCTATTTCAGGATGTTATTTCATTTTTGTCCTGGAATTCGGCCAAAGCAAGCATAATTGGTCAGATTAAAGGCGGATCAAGTGAACCTAAAAACTAAAAATGCGAATTTCTCGAGCCCGGGCGCGTCTATCCCAATTTCGGCCCGTCCATTCAATTATGCTCAGTCTAAAGATTATTGACTGCTATTACGAAAATCGCATTTTGAAAATTATCTAGATTACTGAACTTATTCGATTCTTAGTACATATTTGGTTGCAGGTGCTCCAGTGGCGCAGTGGTTAGCGCTTCGTGCTTATAGCCGTGTTACGACAAAGGTTATACCTAAGTCACGGTCGTGTGAGGAACGCGACGGTCGTGGGTTCAAACCCCTCCTGGAGCATTTGTCCTTTTTTTTGGTTTTTGGTGTCTTTTGTTATTTTTTAGCCTATTTATATTGGATTACTATATTTCGGGGATGTTGGTACATTTTTTGTATTGTTTCTCGAACGAAGAGCTAATCATTTTGAGGAGACTTTGAACGAGTTCGTCCAGCCATGATAACCATGATAAGAATGAATCATTTTGCTTATTTTTTGGGTATTGACAACTATCATTTTGCAATAAAGTCTGTTTCTCTTTTCACTGTTAGGCAAATTCTTAATTGACACTTTCATAATCAATCAATATTTTTATGTCTCAGACGTTATGTGACAAAATGGCTGCGAAATTGCACAACCATGAAATATCGTAATTCTCGAGCACACTAAAATTATACATTCGACATTTTTTCTTCAAAACTTGGGGGTAATACAATTTTGCAACAAAATTATTATCAAATACAAAATCGAGTACTAAATAACGAAGAAAATAAGAGTATAATCAGCAATTATTGTATAGAACCTTCTCACGGCAACTCTTTCACAGTAAATACCTGGATGTAAGTAGCTTCTTAGGGCTCAATTTAATAAGTAAACTTCATGATAATGAAAATGGTTATCTCCTGGAATTGGTTGATTTGAAAGATATTGCCAATATAAGGGTGGTCACGTGACCCATCTTGCGTCTAAGACTGAGCTCTTCGCATTACGCTTCTCATCGCATTATCGAGATTTGGATCAAGAACCGCTAGACATTTCAAGACAACAACAACAACCATGTCGTCCAAAATAAGGTTCTACATGGAACAGTCTGTTCCAGAGCTAGAAGACCTCAAACGAAAGGGCCTCTTTGATCAAAAAGAGATCACCATGATTATGAGGAGACGGACTGATTTCGAGCACAGAATACAAGGTCGTGGAGCAAAACCTAGAGACTTTTTGAAATATGCCGACTTCGAGATAAACCTTGAGAAGTTGAGAATTAAAAGATTTGCAAGGCTAAGAGAAACTGACCATGTTGACACAAATCCTAGTATCTCCGACTGGGCTGGGTTCAGAAAAGTGATTTTTGTCTTTGACAGAGCGGTGAGAAGATTCTCCGGTGATCTAGATATCTGGGCCAAGTATCTTCAGTTCGTGAAGGAAAAGGATGCTATAAAGGTGGTTTACAGAGTTTATGCTAAGCTTTTGCTGTTGCAACCAAGAAACGTTGACGCCTGGCTTTCGGCAGCAAAGTACGAGTTTGAAACGAACGCCAACGCCAAGGGAGCTAGAGAATTGTACCAAAAAGCCTTGAGATTAAATCCAGAATCCAGAAGTCTTTGGGTGAGCTATGCCCAATTCGAATTAACATATGTATCCAAATTGCTTGCAAGACGCCAGGTTTTGGGTTTGCTCACAGAGAAGAAACAGGAGGAGGATTTGAAATCTCAAGCTTTAGAGCAGGCAAAGAGAATCGAGGATGCACCAGATGATGGAGTCGAGACAAACGCTGACACAATTTCATTTGCTGACGTTGAGGAGGACGATTTGAAGCTGGAATTGGCCTCTCTACCAGAAGCCGATATGAATGTGTTGGGATCACCAGAAACCAACCCGGTCTTGAAGGGTGATATCGCCTTGACAGTCTTCGACTTGGCCATTCCCGAGCTCCTCAAGGAAGTTGGCGAGGCTCACAAGACGGACAAGGTCTTCGAGTTTGCGGAAGAATTCCTCAAGCTTTTCGCTCAGTTTGAAACGCTTAACAGAGACTACTTATATTATCACGTCTTATCCTATCTACAAACAAACTTCAAGGATGACATCAGAACTATACTTACAGACATTACATTGCCGCTTCGCAATACGTCGGTGCTGGACTCTTCCCTAGCAGAAGCGTTGAAATTGTCAGTGAATAAGTTCACCGCATACAAGCTGAAGATCAAGGATAGCAAAAGAAAGACCGAACTTTCCGAGAAGTACGTTGGTTACTTGACAGAGAAATTTGTCAATTCTGAAGAGCCAAAATCAGAGAAAACAGAGGCTCTTCTCAAAGCCATCATACAAAAGTGCCGCTAAAATTGTACATAATTTTGTTTCCAATTACGGAGATACTATAATACATCTTGCATCTAGTCTTGCTTAGCAATACCAGACTCTGTGTCCACTGCTCTGTAGCCGCGTCTCTTATACTTCATCGACGCACCTCCACAAGAGATACTCGACGCTACAAGGGCGACGGCAACAATAAGGAAGAGTAACACTTTCATGCTAATTGGCACTGAGCTCATAGGAAGTTTGTAGAAACCATCATCGAAAGGCAAGCTGTTGAACCCTTTTGTTCTACCAGCGGAAGGTTTGACATTATCAATCCAACGTACTCCGATCTCAAGAGTTACATCTTCACCTATAACCACACGGGTTGCATTAGTTCCAGAAGACCAGGCTACCGCCGAAATGACTGTCTGTCTCTCTGGCTGGTTAGTTGGTGGCTTCATGATAATGAGGTTCATATGGTTGTCGATGTCAAGATGAGAATCGTGAATTTCTCCCCTGAAGTTGAAGGTCAATGGAATATAGGCCCCGCCCAGTTCCAATGAGTTTGCCTCAGTGCTAAGTGGAATTCTGCAACTGAAAGGAGAATCCTCGTGAATGTACAACTGGAACAAATGATAAAGTTCATCCGTGAAGCTGACCGTACAATTGATGTCTTCCGAAACACCGTAATGGAAAGAGAGTGGTTTACCACTTTCCTTGCAAACCGGAAAAGCTCCATAAACAATACGATCATTGTTATCAAACTTGTGCTCTCCGTTGTCAATGTTTCGGGTTATGCAATCAATGAATACATCCTGACCAAAGGTGTAAGGCTGTATGGTGGGTATTTCACCTTTTCTGTTGAGGGGATAGAATTGGCTCGGAACATTTTCCGCAAGCACCGTAGCCGCAAGCAAAAATGGTATCAACAAGTTCATTGTCCAAGGCCGAGCGGGCTAAAACAAAAAGTTTATATCTTGCGTGTGCTTGATATACCTGTACTCATTCGATCGGTTGTCACCTTTTTTTTCCTTCACGCACACGGATTTCGCGCCCCTTCGCTACCGTGTCTGGCTGAATGATGTAATGTCTAGCCTTGCGAACACCAGCCCATTTGAACGAAAAATTCGTAAATCTTGGATGCTTTGTTAACATCAATTTTCAAAAACAGCCTGGCATCCTTCTTTTTCAACGTGCCATTATTTTTAATTGCCTCTTTCATCAATTGATTCTTGATTGCAAGATATGGCTTTGGTAGAATTCGGAGTGTAGAGCAAAGCTGTTTTTCTTCACGAGAAAGAAGCTCGAAGTCTGTAGCATGAGAAATATCAAGTGGTGCCCTGGGATTAGAAGTGTTGATCTTGGGCTTGTATTCTGGTTGTGGGGTGTTCAACTTGCGAGTTCCGTTGCTGACAGCCAGTGCAGCAGCGGCATTTCTTGCAGCAAGACCAGACCCGTTGCCCATTCTTTGGTAATGGGCTTGCCTTATAAGTTTATCTTTTTCAAACCTGCTTCCGTCCTCCATGGTGGTGATTCCGTTTCTTCGCCAACTCTGGAGTTGCTGGATCCTGATTCGGCATCGTAGCTCGGTAAGAATATCTTCAGAAAATTGATTGAAATCCTCTGGTGTCATCACACGAATGAAAGCGTTTATCTTACGCAAATACTCCTTCTCTTCCTTCGACTTTTTCTTATCGTTCGAGATATTCTTACGGTATTCAAGTAAGTTGTTAGCGATAAGAACACGTTTTCTCTCTGCACGTGTCGTCAACCTGAAGTTGTAAATATCCAAAGCCGTGAGCTTGAGCTCGATATCACCAGCTGAATCATCTGGATCGAAGACCATATCTTTGATAGGAACTTCGGCTTCATTCTCGGCCTCATGATCGAACTCCAATCTACCAGGCATGTAGCCTTGAATTTCGTGACACAAGGGTACCGATGCAGCAGGCTTGAGTTTGGGA